CCTCCTCCTCCTCCTCCTCCTTCTCCTCCTCCTCCTTCTCCATCCTCCCGCGCTTCGGGTATAACGGAATGCCCAGCCATTCATTACACTGCATGCTCCTCCACATCCCTGATCAAGGCAACTCGCCTAAGCATCGTTTCTGGCTGGGCCGGTGCGGCTACGTCAAGTGTCTAGAATTAGCACCTTTGGCAACCTCCACTTGACCCGCCTACTCCTCGTCCACCTCGTCATCTCCGTCTTCATCCCCCACCTCCTCCTCCTCCTCCTCCTCCTCCTCCGCATCCTCCTCGTCCACCTCCTCCTCCGCCTTCTTCCCCTCTTCCTCGCCCCTTCTCGCACTTCCCGCTCCTCGCTCATTGCTCCTCGATCTTCCTCCTCCTGCTCTTCCACGCTCATCGCTCCTCCCCCTCCTCCTCCTCCTCCTCCTCCTCCTCCACCTCCTCCATCCCTCCTCCTCCTCCTCCACCTCCTCCTCCTCCTCCTCGTCCCCATCCTCCTCCTCCTCCTCCTCCTCCTCCTCCTCCTCCTCCTCCTCCTCCTCCTCCTCCTCCTCCTCTGCCTCCTGCTCCGCCTCCCCCTCCGCCTCCCCCTCCTCCTCCCTCCTCCCTCCTCCTCCTCCTCCTCCTCCTCCTCCTCCTCCCTCCTCCTCCCCCTCCGCCTCCCCCTCCTCCTCCTCCTCCTCCTCCTCCTCCTCCTCCCTCCGCCTCTTCCTCCTCCTCTCTCCTCTTCTCCTCGCTCCTCATCCCTCCTCCTCCTGCTCCTCATCCTCCTCGCTCATCTTCACTCCTCGCTCATCGCGATTCGCTCCTCGATCCTCGCTCATCCTCCTCCTCACTCCTCCACCTCATTATCCTCCCCCTCCTCCGCCTGTTTGCACTCCTCCTCCTTGCCTCTTCGCGCTCCTTTTTGTTCTTCTTCCGTTTCCTCGTTCTCATCAGTATCCTCCTCCTCTTCGGCCTCCTCCTCCTCCTACTTTTCCTAATCCCTCCTCCGCCTCCTCCATTAGTTTTCCGTTTAAGTACCTCCTCCGTATCGCACCCCGAGGCTGGTCGAAAAGGCTGGCCAGGAGTTTCGCCTGCGACTCCATCGCCATTCATCATGACCTGAAGCTTGCAAAGTGGCAACAGCTTCACATATGGAAGGCGGGTGGTCTTCAAAATGTGGTTCTCGCCTTAACACCGCGCACGTTGGTCTTACCATGTTGCAAGTATTTCGCAGATTGAGGATGGGTCGTGTCCAAACTGTTGCCCTCGCCTCAGCGCCGCGCACATTCGTCTTAAGAAATTGCATGAGTTTCACGCATTGAGTACGGGTGGTTTTCAAAATGTGGCTCTCGCGTCAGCGCCGAGCACATTCGTTCGCAAAGTTGCAAGAACTTCACGGATTGCGCGGCTATTACGTGTTCTGGCGCAGTCCCGAATCGTCACGACGCAACAATCAAGCTTATTCGTAGCGTTGGGGTTCCGAGAATGGCCGTTGGCACGTTTCAGGATCTTCAAACGGCTGTCTCCCAACGGGGCACTTCCCTAAGTGGGAATGCATCCTTGAAGGGACCTGTGGAGGAGGGGCTTGGAGGAAGGTATATTAAAACATCGTTTATGCATTTTGGATTTGCACTGGTCCTCCTCCTCCTCCTTCTCGCTCATCCCTCCTCGCTCCCCGCCCCATGCCGCACTTCTGTGCGCCCAGCTCGTGCCCTGCTGAGACAGGGCTCTGTCAACGGCCCCCATCCTGCGTTCTTGATGCTCGTGCCTCCCCCCCTCCTCTCGCCTCTCTCGCTCCGCTGGGCAGTCGGCCTCTCCTCCCCCTCTCGGAGGACCGCCCCTCGCTGTGGGCGCTGGTGTGGCGTGTGGGGCCCGGTGTCCGCTTGCGGATGCTGGGCGCACGCGCCACGCTACGGCCGTGGCCTGGCACGGCGCCTGCTCCCCCCCTTCCTTCTTCTGGGCCGCTGCTGCTTGCTGCGGTTGGGTCGCAACCGCTAGCGTTGCTCCTTTTGTCGTGCCTCGCCCTCCCTGGCCAGCTGGAGAGGAGCCCCTTCGGCACGGGCCGCGTACTGGCACCCGCTGGGCGTGCACACGGCTGCAGCTAGTCGTGCCCATCGTTTTCTGAGATGCCGAGCAGCTTGATGTGGGGGTATCCCCCCCAGTCCTCGCCAGTCCAACCCCTTGGACTCTCGTGGAGCGCCGCCACCGCCGCCGCCGCCGCTGCCTCCTCCTCCTCCTCCGCCTCCGCCTCCTCCTCCTCCTCCTCCTCCGCCTGCTCCTCCTCCTCCTCCTCCTACTCCGCCTCCTCCTCCTCCTCCTTCTCCTCCTCCTCATCCTCCTCCTGCTCCTGCTCCCCCTCTCCTCGCTCCTCGCTCCTCGCTCCTCGCTCCTCGCTCCTGCGCGGTGCTCCCCTTGCCGACAAGCAGCCCCCCCGCCCGGCTCCCCGGAAGCACGCGTCCCCCAGGCAGGCGCAGCAGGAGCCCGCCATGGCCGAGCCGAGCGGCGCCGCCCCCCCACCAACCCCCAGGGCCGCGGAGGGGGAGGGGCTGGATGCGGGCGCGGATCGGAGACGAGGGGCAACGATGGGGGGGAGGGGCTGGCGCCTGGGACGAAGCCTCAAGGTTCGAGGCTTAACCCCTAACTGCGGATAATAAACCCTAAGGGATAATAAAGTTCGGGGTTTCCGGGGGGATAATAAAAGTTGCCCGCCAGAGCCAGCATAAAGAGATATCAAGGGGAAAAAGCCAAAGATATCTTGAGGATTGTCTCGGTTGAGACATCCTCAACGAATTGCTTGTTTCGCTTGAGACATCCTCGAAATATTTGTCTGTTTCGCTTGAGACATCTTCAAATTATTGCTTATTTCGCTTGAGACATCCTTGAGGGAGGAGGAGGAGGAGAAAGAGCAAGAGGAGGAGAGGAGAAGGAGATAACAAAAATCCTAAGTTTAAAACTTAGTATATTTAATTTGTAAACGCTTGATGAAAATCAAATTTTCCATCTGCTTGTGTAGGGTAGCTCACGTGCCTCGTTTTCCCAGGATAATCAACCCCAGCGATAAACAAGTTCAGGGCGCCAGGGGGAAGAGGAGGAGAAAGAGATAGAGAGACAGAGAGAGAGAGACAGAGAAAGAAAGAAAGAGAGACAGAAAGAACTACAAAGAGACAGAAGGACATCGGTTTCGCTTGAGACATCCTTGAGGGAGGAGGAGGAGAAAGAGCAAGAGGAGGAGAGGAGAAGGAGATAGCAAAAATCCTAAGTTTAAAACTTTTTAGCTTTAATGTGTAAACGCTTGATGGAAATTAAAAGTTTCATCTGCTTGTGTAGGGTAGCTCACGTGCCTCATTTTCCCAGGATGATCAACCCCAGCGATAAACAAGTTCAGGGCGCCAGAGGGAGGAGGAGGAGAAAGAGATAGAGAGACAGAGAGAGAGAGAGAGACAGAGAAAGAAAGAAAGAGAGACATAACTAACTACAAAGAGACAGGAGGACATTGGTTTCGCTTGAGACATCCTGAATTTCGCTTGATGTTGTTATCTCAACATAAGAAGGAAGTAGCCTCGATGGCGAACTTTTCCCGTGATAATGAAGTTCGGCCTCCGCGCCCCCGCGCCCCCGACCAAACTCTTATTGGTCGACGATACCACAAAAACTAACGACTTAAGGGAGGGGGGTACATTATTATCCTGGGCATGGGGTTAAAGTGTTCGGACGCTGTCGTGTTGGCTCTCGGCGGCTTTCCAGCCGGGGAATGCCCTGCAGCGGCTGTGCCTCGCCGAGGGCGTTCGGGGGGGGTCCAGGGTCGTCTCGAACGGCCGCGAAAGACCCTTCTGACCCGAACACACCCAGGGGACCAGCTAAGGCTAGGGGGGAACCCATTGAGCAATTGAGCTGGAATCGGCGATGCATCGCCAACAGATTGGCGATGGGCCCCAGATAGCGGATCCAAGCGCTCCCGGGCGGGGTGGCTACTTATCGGGCTCCTATCGGCGATGAGTGGTCGATTGGGGGTCGATGGTCGGTGCAATCCACCCTGAGAATATCCCAGGCCCCACATTGCCTCTGAAGGGATTCATGAATATCGTTTAACCGATCCCCATCCCCAGCGGCGTGGCCTGGGCCCCACTTGCCGACTTACCCCCCTAGATGGGGATGTAGGTCGTTCCCTTCGGGTTTCGAGGAATGTGTCCCCAACTGGGGGTGTAATTTGGTGGGGGTCTCGAAGGGGTTGGGGATGGGGATGGGGATCGGATAGACGACACTGAACTCAGGGAGAGGGGGGAAGGTGAAAGGAGCCAGGAGGCAGCTCCTCGGAGGTCCCCAACGGGCACGGCAACGACGGCGTCGACGCCCGCGGCCGCGGCCACCGCGCTCCTGGCAATGCTTCATCCCGGAAACGCTTTTGGCGGGCCCGGCCCCCCGACGGCCCCGCGACGGCACAAACTGCAGCAAAAACGCTCGGATTCACAGCAAAAGCAAATCCGTTCAGTGGTCCAGGGGGGACAAGACACGTACCGAGACCGCTACTCCCTGGACCCCGCCCGGGGTGCGATTCAGGCCCGAATTTCGAGGAGCACCCAGCTCGGGGGGAACGAAAGGGGGGGATAGCAAATGGTAGGGTAGAGAATCAGCTCACGTAGCTGGTTTTCCCAGCGCCTCCCGGTGCCGGGAGGCGCCCATGTATCGAGGAATGGGCCCCGCGGCAGCGCCGAAGCCAGCTGCATGCAGCAGATTTCGTAACCCGCCCCCTTCCCTATCCTCCCCTTTCGTTCGGCCCGACCAGCCGTGGCGACGAGGCACCGGCACCTTCCCCTCCTCCTCCTCCTCCTCCTCCTCCTCCTCCTCCTCCTCCTCCTCCTCCTCCTCCTCCTCCTCCAGGACGAGACGCGGCACCGGCACCGTTGCCCTGCGCGGAGGGCTGAGCTCCCCTCGCGGGCGAGCCCGCGGCGGCGAAGCGGCGAACGGCGACGGCGAGAGCGGCGGCGACGGCGACGGCGCGGCGGCGGCGGCGCGTGCCTCGCGGGCAGCCCTGCGTCTCTGCCAGCTGCTCGGAGCACGGGCTCCCGTCGCCCGAGGGCGCCTGCGGGCGGGGGAGCCACAAGGTACCGATACGGAGGAGGAGGAGGAGGAGGAGGAGGAGGAGGAGGAGGACTAGGGAGCCCACAAAGGACGTACGCGCCCAGCTATGTACATGAACACGGCCCCTCGATTCGCGAGACCGGCCGCATTATACGAACATGTGTGCAATGCGTGCTCTCGAAACCAGCGTGGATTCATGTACATGTACGTCCTTCTTTCGCTCCTGAGAGGAGGCGGCGGCGGCGGCGGCGGTGGATCGAGCCACTCAGCTCACGGTAATGATAGGATCTGGGATTTCGAAAAACTGCCCCGGATTTAGAAAAACTGCGCCTTTGAATTTGGTACACCGGTTCTGGCGTTCACTGAATGATACTTTGTCTTGTGTTGATTCGGCGGCGCATTTTAGTAAGTCCGCTTCTCGCTTTAGTAAAGCATCGACTTTTCAATGGCTTGTTTAAGAATACGCGTTCCTTCATTACCATGACCTGTGTTAGCATACCGCCGCTCCTCGGACCTCCAGGACGAGCGACGGCGTCGGCAACTTTTCCTCCTCTGCTGGGCGGAGGGGTGGGACGTCACCGGGCTGCTCCCCGGTGGCAGGGCTCGCTCCCCGGATCGGGCTCACCTGGACCTTCCAGGGCGTCGAAACAGCAAAACGAACACCTGTCGCCGTTTCCGCCCTGGGAGCGTCAAAACACGACGCCAGTTTACAGACCGGCCCCGGGGAACGGGTCTGAACCTCCAGGGCCCACGCCGTGGAAGAAGATCAAGACACCGGATGCCTGGGCACGCAGTGAGGGGGAACGATCGCGGGGGGGGACTGGCTGGGGCGGGAAAACCAGGAACGATAGCGGGGGGAACGACAGCGGGGGGAACGACAGCAGGAGGGACTGACCTGGAGCCGGAAAACATCGCCGACATCGGCGACAGGCGTCAACAGCAAAGCCGCACGCACGTTTATGGCCAGGCCGAGACCTGGGGCGCCAACGTCCCGACCAGCCAGGAACGGGCAATTGGGGGTCGATGCTTCCCCCCTCGAGCCAGTCCTCCCGTAAGCGCTGTCGCGGGTCAACAAAATCCCAGGTGGGAAAAAGCTGATGAGCCTCTGGAAAGAGGCCTCTCTGCATAAAAAACGCATGGGCATCCAGATAGACCTCTGGGCCTCCAGAGGAAGCAGACGGGTTCCCCAAACATGTGCTTGGGCTCCGAAACAAATTCTGGGCATTCAGAAGGCCTGGGAAGGAAAACGAGGGTGAGGATAACGGGCGTGAGGACGAGGGGGCGGAGAGGACGGCGTTGAAGGAGACAAGTGCGAGGATGGGGACAAGAAGGAGAGGGAAGGGGCGCAGAAAGATAAGGATGACGATGACGAGGACGACGAAGGCGACGCCGACAGAAGTGCTGATTGGGGGAAGGATGGGTTAGGAAATGACGGAGGCCGACAACGGTGATTATGATCATGATGAGGATGATGAGGATCATGATGATAATGATGATGATACCGAAACTGAAATTCAAGATAAAGATGAATATGATGATGCCGATTATGACGATGATGGTTATGATGATGGTGATGTTGATGCTGATGATGATGCTGATGCTGATGATGCTGATGATGATCATGATGTTGATGATGATGATGATGATGATGATGATGACCAGGATGATGATGATGGTGATGATGGTGATGAAGATGAGGACGATGATGATGATGATGATGATGATGATGATGATGATGATGATGATGATGATGATGATGATGATGGTGATTGTGGTGGTGGTGGTGATGGTGCTGATGGTGGTGATGACGATGGTGATGTGGGCAATGATGTATGATGATGTATGATGATGATGGTGATAATGGTGGTGGTGATGACGCCGATGAATGAGGAGAAAGGACAGGCATCGTAAGCAAGAGAAGCGGGGACGGATGGGAGGCCCGAGGACAATCGGAGAGACGGGAGGAGACGGGACGCGGGAGAGGTGGGCTGAGGCACATAATAGGGGCGCCATGCACGGCATTTGGGCGGGGGCCAACGGGTGCCGCAAGTGGGCGGGGGGAGGAAGGAGGGGTGATGAAGGATGGACTGGAGGGAGGAAGAAGCGAAGAGCGATTAACGACGAGGAAGGAACACGAAAGGGCACACCTACACGTACGAGCGCGCCGGAAAAATTAGCCTGGCGAAGAACCCAACCATATGCAGTTGTCAGTACCGCAGCTGCGGGTTTCATCTTCAGTGGAACTCCCCACAGGACCACGGAACGTGTGAGGGGTGTGCCGAGATGGGTGCCACCGGGGCATTCGGTGAAGCTCCCTATGGGGACATGAAACACGCGCGGGGCGTGCCGACATGGGGGCGGAAACGCATGTGAGGGCTGCCACTGGGCCTCCAGTGGAGCTCCCTATGGGTCCCCGAAACATGATGCTGCTGCGGGGGGGGTGCCGGGATGGTGGCCGAGACGCATGTAAGCTGCTACTGGCTCCCTATGGAGCCACGAAGCGCGTGAGGGGTGTACTGGGATGTGTGGCGGGGACGCATGTGAGCGCCGCCACTGGGGCCTTCGGTGCAGCTCCCTATGGGGCCACGAAACGTGTGAGGGTCTGCCGAATTGGGTGCGGGTGGTGACGCATTCGGGCGGTGCCACTGGGGCTTCGGTGCAGCTCCCTATGGGGCCACGAAACCTGTTGTTGTGAGGGGCGTGCCAGGGTGGCGGGGACGCATGCGGGCGGCAGCACTGGGGCCTTCGGTGGAGCTCCCTATGGGGCCACGAAACGTGTGAGGGGTGTGCCGAAATGGGTGTGCGTGACGCATGCGGGCGGCAGCACTGGGGCCTTCGGTGGAGCTCCCTATGGGGCCACGAAACGTGTGAGGGGTGTGCCGAATTGGGTGTGCGTGACGCATGCGGGCGGCAACACTGGGGCCTTCGGTGGAGCTCCCTATGGGCCACGAAACGTGTGAGGGGTGTGCCGAATTGGGTGTGCGTGACGCATGCGGGCGGCAGCACTGGGGCCTTCGGCGGAGCTCCCTATGGGGCCACGAAACGTGTGAGGGGTGTGCCGAATTGGGTGTGCGTGACGCATGCGGGCGGCAGCGCTGGGGCCTTCGGCGGAGCTCCCTATGGGGCCACGAAACGTGTGAGGGGTGTGCCGAATTGGGTGTGCGTGACGCATGCGGGCGGCAGCGCTGGGGCCTTCGGCGGAGCTCCCTATGGGGCCACGTGTGAGGGTGTGCCGAATTGGGTGTGGGTGACGCATGCGGGCGGCAGCACTGGGGCCTTCGGCGGAGCTCCCTATGGGGCCACGAAGCGTGTGAGGGGTGTGCCGAATTGGTGTGCGGGACGCATGCGGGCGGCAGCACTGGGGCCTTCGGTGGAGCTCCCTATGGGGCCACGAAACGTGTGAGGGGTGTGCCGAAATGGGTGTGCGGGCGCATGCGGGCGGCAGCACTGGGGCCTTCGGTGGAGCTCCCTATGGGGCCACGAAACGTGTGAGGGGTGTGCCGAATTGGGTGTGCGGGACGCATGCGGGCGGCAGCGCTGGGGCCTTCGGTGGAGCTCCCTATGGGGCCACGAAACGTGTGAGGGGTGTGCCGAATTGGGTGTGCGGGACGCATGCGGGCGGCAGCGCTGGGGCCTTCGGTGGAGCTCCCTATGGGGCCACGAAACGTGTGAGGGGTGTGCCGAATTGGGTGTGCGTGACGCATGCGGGCGCAGCACTGGGGCCTTCGGCGGAGCTCCCTATGGGGCCACGAAACGTGTGAGGGGTGTGCCGAAATGGGTGTGCGTGACGCATGCGGGGCAGCACTGGGGCCTTCGGCGGAGCTCCCTATGGGGCTGAGGCGTGTGAGGGGTGTGCCGAAATGGGTGTGCGTGACGCATGCGGGCGGCAGCACTGAGGCCTTCGGTGGAGCTCCTCATGGGGCCACGACACGTGTGAGGGGTGTGCCGAATTGGGTGTGCGGGACGCATGCGGGCGGCAGCGGGGCCTTCGGTGGAGCTCCCTATGGGGCTACGAAACGCTGTACTGGGTAGGTGAAACGCAGGGAAGAGGGGGAGGAGGGAGGAGGAGGGGGAGGAGGCAGCGGGAGGAAGGAGAACGCGGGGCACCGTCTCTTCAAAACGAGGACCCAACACCACAAGATGGTTGGGAAAAATCCGAGGACAAACAGAAGACGTCGGAAAAACAACGAGCACGCACAACGCGACGAGACAGAGTGTGGAGCACGCGACGCGCGTCCGGCATACTACCGGGAAGCGAAGCCAAAAGCAAGCATCGCCGCTGGCCCTGGGGGGACGGGGCCCCCCCCCTCCGCTCAGCCATGAGGGGGGCCCCTGCCAGCCTGCAGGCCCTTCAGGTCGGCGGCATGCTTACTGGACGCCTCCCAGAGACAGGGCCCCCGGAATCGAGGCCCAGCTGCACTCGGCTGGGCCCGAGAGCCACACCGACGGCACCAGGCCAGAGTGCCAGCGAGGCACAGATGATGGCCTCTAGCACACTCTGGTCCACACGGCCCTGAGCAGGCGGGGGGCGATCGGGCGGGAGCGCAGTCTTCGCGGTTCCCCGCCTTGGGCCCCTCAGAGGCCCTATCCCGCTTAGGGGGCGGCTGGCCCCCAGGGCCCTCAGGCCGCTCGGGGGGCCTGGGAAAGGACAGCGGCCGAGACGCGAGGGGCCTCAAGTTGGGGGGGCACCAGAAGCCCCACCCCGAGCCCCCCATTAGATCGCAACCCCGAGGGCGACGTGCTCGGGGGGAGGGGGGCATCGGGCGAAAGGGCCCCAGGCGCTTGGCACGCCTGGCAACGTTGGCGAGCGGGGCGTAGACATCCTCCAAATTGATATCGTTCTGCTCCTCTTCCGTTTCCGAACTTCAAACCAGGCGATCAAAGCCCAACGTGGCCGAGGGCGGCGGGTCGCTGGACGCGGCCACAACCAGGACACGCGAGCCCAGGAACGGCCCCCAGGGGCACCGCAGGCGAAGACGGAGTCGAGTCCACAACGTCGGGATCGATCCTGCTCGGGAGCCCGTCGGTGGCCGGCACCCCTAAAACCTCTCACGCTTTTCAATGTCCTGGCGGAGGCTGGGCAACGATCGGAAGTACACTTCTTGACACGATGGCGCACAGCGGCTGGCAGGTCATGAATGCGCCTGACCGCTTTGGCAACCGCATCAGCCTGGCTGTAGCCCATTTGCTCCCAAGACACCTCACGCTGGTGCCCCTCGGTGCATGAGAATGCACTTGGCGGTTATGCAGCTTCGTCCAGCCCCATGGACCATGCTCATCGATATAGCGCCATAGCTTCTTCCTCCATTTAACCGAGAATGCGGGCGCACCGCGTCCATTTTTTCTGAAGCCCGCCCACGAGGGGTTAGAAAATCCATGAAACCATGGAGGGGGGCGACGCTGACCGCCAGGACCTGGGGGGCAACATGCCACTCAGCCATCTGAATGCTTGCCACGAGCCAGGCAAGAGGCCGCGCGCCGACCCCATGACGCGGTCGCCATCGATGTCCGCAAAGCCCCATCCCGCCCTGACGGCGCCCTCCAAGCGGGTCAGCTTCACGCAGGAGTACCCCGAGGACACGATTCCAGTGACCACCAAATTGACTGAACAACGGGAACGCCAACCTCCGGGATCATTCCGAGGTTGCAGCACTGACAGAGCTAACCTCGGACATCGGGACCAGCGGGGGACACGGATCACCTGGCGCCGCCCGGGCAGCAGCCTGCAGCGCGCCCTCGCCCACCGCGCGCTCGAGAAGGTCAGCAGACCGAGGGCAGATCGGATGGCGATTCCGCGAAATGCCAAAGGCATCCGCGCAAGTAAATTAGAAAGAGCCATCCGCGCACGCGCATCGACGCACCCGCCGCTGCAAATAGCACCCCCCTTGCCGCCGACCTGGAAGCAGCGCGCGCGCGGCCCCGGCGCCCCGCGCTCGGCCTCCCTGCCCACTTTCCTCACTCCAGCAGGATAGCTGCGCGATGACCCAGGAATCTCAGCCGCGACATCTGGCCGTCGGGCCCAGCGCTCCCACCCAGCAATTTTGGAACCCAGGAGGGGCGCCCATTTGACTACTGGAGTCGCCGTCTCACGCGGGCCCAGGATCTCACACTGCCTCGCGCGCGCAACGGGCGCCGATGAGCAGGCCCACCCGAGGCGCTGCGCCGGCCTACCAGGCGGAATAGAAGCCCGCGGGCCTGCAGGTGCGGCGCCGCACCCGCGGCGCCGAGGCCGCAGGTGGCAGCTGGTCTAACCGCTGCCCGCGCAACCATCTGGACCTCGGATCCCAAAGGCTACGCGACGCTTCAAATGCGGGACCCGCCCACGCGCCTCAATGCATTGCGCCCGACAACTTTGCCAACGGCCACCAATGGGCAGTTCACCTCCAGCTGCGACTGCGCCCGAATGCCAGATCGACGGGGCCGCGCGGCCAACCCCGGCACCATTCACCCCGCTCGCAAACGCGAGCTCGGCCTCAAACTCGCCGCCGGACAGGCCGAGATCCCTGGGGCGCCGCAGCGGAGTTTGATAGCGCCGGCAAACAGCGGCTGGACGTCGCCCAGCTGCGCCGCGACCTGCAACGTTAGATCGCCCGCAAAGACACCCAAGGAGGCGCCGCATCCCAAATCTGAACAATGAAAGCATCAGTGGACGCGGTCACAAGGAGGCGGACCATGGCCATGGCTGGCCCGCAGCCTGGCAAGACGCCCTGGTCAACCACAGCGCAAGTCGCCCGCAACCAGACCGGCCTCCTTCGCGCCCGCTGCATCGCCAGCGCACACGCCCGCAATATAGACACATCCAGCATATGCGATCGAAACACTTGTTGATGTCAACGATGGCTGCGACCGCTCGCGCCTCAGCCATCATCCATGGTCGCATCCGCCGTGGCCAGGACCCAGCGACATCTAGGGTGGCCTTGCCCGCGGCGAAGGCAAAATAAGGTCGCTGGTGAGCAATGAGCCACTCGCGCAACTGCCACCCGCGCACTTGCGACCGCACTCGGCAGGTGGCCTGGAGGGGCGCGACCGGCCGCCATCCCCCATCGGCCTTCGCAAGCACGGCGATGCGCACAGCTGCGAACTGACTTGGCCGTCGCCCCCGATGCTTGGCCAATCGCGCGATATAGACCAGCAGCAGAAAGTGGCGTCACTGGGCAAGCTGATCAAACGAGTTGCCAACTTGTCGCCGCATTGCTCGGCGTGCCGCTTGAAACTCTGAGCGGCCTTCCTGACCTCATCGGCGCGCGGAACCGAAAGGCTGGCCTTGGGGAAGCTGCGGAACAACCCCCTCGCGTCGCCCATGTTGTCGGAAAGGTGGTGGATGCTGTAGCTGTCCCGGTCCTGGCCCCTCAACTCCACCCGCTCGAGCATGAGCTCGGATGAGGCCTCCTCCGTTCGCCAGATGCGCGGCCGCGAGTCGTGCTGGTCATCGACGATGTGCTCGGCAGCCGTAGTTACCTATCCGCGACGCTGCACCCGCGCATCGGGAGATCCTTGCGGCTTCGTGAAGGAGAACAGCGCCTTGATCCTGCCGTCCTCAGCACCACCGGCCCAATGCTTGAAGGCCTCTCTTCGACGAGCGTGGGCAGCAGCACGCGCCAGGCCATGCGCAAATAATTCCAGCCACTCCAGTGACCCTAACTGCACCAAGGCAAGCAGCATCACATCAGCAAATTCAATGCCAGGAGCAGGCTGCAAGTCGTGCGAGACGGTGCTGGTCTGCGAGAGCGACCAGACACTGACGTCGCAACAGGGAGGTGTGAAATCCCGAGGCAATATATCGCAGGTTGCCCCCAACTGTTTGTTAACCGACGTCGGCTTCCCGCCGCAACCCAGTCGTCGACCCAGAGCGAATGCTCGGCGCACCTGGCCCCCCAGCGATTCCTCTGATAGAAGTCACCCAAGGAGATTCGCGCCGACCAGCAGTCTATACTATCTCAAGACCAGGGCACCTCCAGGACGAAGACGGTGCATCCTGAGAAGCAGTCGCCGCACCGCTCTCGAAGTCCGAGGCCTTGAGAGCCATGGGCCGCTCGATCGCTCGGAGCAGCTGGCGAAGAATCTGGACCACGCGCGTGCACACAGGGGAAAGGTAGGCCTGCTCCGCCCGCTGACCCACCAGCCGCACAGCCCATCGAATAATAACTAGCGGGAGATCGGCGTCGTTCTGTGACAGCCCGGACGCATCTTGCTTGCCCGTAGGCGCATGACCACTGGAATACCGCAAGTGGAAAAAAAGGGACACTGGAAGTCCGCAAACACGTGAGGCCATTGTATTTCCGCAAGATAAAACCAGACCTGAGAAGGTCAGCCAAGACCTGAGCGATCGGGCCCGACGAGCGCCTGGCCCGGCAGCAGGTTCGACCCCAACGGCGGGCCCCCCGGTTGGAGCCACCTGCCCTCAACCTGTCGGCGCGCCTAGGGTAGATGGAGGTCGTCACCGCCGTGCAAGGCCGCACATCTTTGAGACCTGGACCTCTGTTACTCGCGCAAAAATAACAGATAGACCGTCCAGCCGACACTGCGCTTGCACCGCGGTGGCCTCCTCACCAAGCGAGGCATCCTCCTCAATGACGTCCACATGATCGGAGGCGGTGATGATGGCAGTGTCGTCGCCGGGAGGGCGCTTTGGGAACGTATTGGGCCCAGCCAGCACCATGAAGCTGGCTGCCTTGGCCCATGCCGAAAGGGTGACCTCCATGAGATAGTGTGGCTCAGCAGGCCATCGAGCGACAGGCCTAGGATTCCTCGAAGAGGCCACCACTGACCAGCTCACCAGCCAGAAGTCGATACTGGAATAGCTGCCCTTAGCACTGCGATTGGTACCAACTGTATACCCACGAGGCAACGCCACAACATTAGCAGGAGCACGATCAAGGAAGCCGTCGGTCTCCACGACAGACCGGCCCGAGTTGAAGCCGGCCGCAAGAATGAAAAGCCAGCTCCAGCAACGAAGTGCCAGGGAAGTACCAAACAGCCATGGGAGGAAAAGGAAGGAGAAAGGAGGGGGGGGGAGGGGAAGGCAGGAGGGGGGAGGACTGAGGAGGGAAGGGGGAAAGGAGGGCAGGAGAGGGGAGGACGGAGGAGGGCAGGAGGGGGGAGGACGGAGGAAAAAGGGGGGGGAGGAGCAGGAGGAGGGAACACGGAAGAGGGAGAGAGGAGCAGGGAGGAGGAGTCGCAGAATGTCGTTTCAGCCAGGGCGGGAGAAGCCTGACAAACACGACGCCGAAGACGACGACGACGCTGCCGGCCGCGGCGACGGCTGCGGCGGCGACGGAGGCGGTGGCCGCGGCGGCGGCGGCGGCTCGCCCCGGAAGCTGCCCCCTGGCCCCCAGGGGTGGGGGGGGCAGGGCGACGTCGCCTCGAGGATGGTGCGGTGCCTATAGCGCTGGGGGTGGTCCTGGGAGCGGGAGGGGCAGCGGCAGGGGCGGCCAGAGGCGCCCCTGGAGGTCCACGCCAAAGGCGGATGATGATGGAGCACTTCGGGGTCCCAGGCATTCCTCCTCCTCCTCCTCCTCCTCCGACTCCTCCTCCTCCTCCTCCTGTTCCTCCCTCCTCCTCCTCGCCTCAAATGTCCTCATGCTGCAAAAGGAACAGGAGCACTTGCTAGCACCTCCCAGCCCGCCCCGAGGAAATCCAGGATTTGTTTTGGGAATATGGCATTTGGGGGCGCTCTTGGCAATTCGATCTATCAAATCTTCTAGCCCCCGCAGCCAAGCGGCCCCGAGTACAGAAATAGAATGGACCCGACCCCCCTGCGTTGCTGCTGTGCCGCCTGCCTGTGGGCTTTCCCTTCCCCCTCCTCGCTGGTTCCTCGCTTCGCTGTGCGTGCGGTTGTGAGGTTTGCTGCTCGGTGGCTGTCTCCCCCTCCCTTCGTGCGCTGCGGGGGTGCCGTGGTCGGCAGGATTGGGTTACGAAACTCTTGTAAAAGTCTGGGCGAGCTGGAGGGAAAGCATTTTGGCCACAGGTCTTTCCTAGGTTGGCTTCAAATCAGCTGAGTAGTAGTAGCACTAGTAGTAGTAGAAGTGGTAGTAGTAGTAGTAGTAGTAGTAGTAGTAGTAGTAGTAGTCGTCGTAGTCGTAGTAGTAGTAGTAGTAGTAGTAGTAGTAGTAGTAGTAGTAGTAGTAGTAGTAGTAGTAGTGGTAGCAGCAGTAGTAGTAGTTGTAGTAGTAGTAGTAGTAGTAGTAGTAGTAGTAGTCGTCGTCGTCGTCGTCGTCGTCGTCGTCGTCGTCG